ATGCCGTCGACGTCTTTTGGAACGTTCCTGAAGGTTTATTGAAGCGTCTCTAAATTTTCTCGTCGCTATGCAGGACGCGGCTCCAGAAGGACTGGCCAAGGGGGAACTGGGAGGGGTCTGAGAGCCGGCTTTGAATGCAGTTTGGTCGGACGATCGCGACGAAGTCTCAGCGGCGGTCGAGGCTCCTCGCGCGCTCTAAGACAAACTTGTCCGGTCCGACGAAGACAATTTTTGAAGCACTGGGACAAGCAAACTCCAGCTCCCCAGAATTGTGGGGTCGGGGAGTCGGGGGGGTAAAGAGTCGGGGAGTCGGCCAGTCGGGGAGTCGGGAAGTCGGGTCGGTCGGGTCGGTCGAGGAGTCGGGGAGTCGGGGAGTCGGGGAGTCGGGCAGTCGGGGAGACGGCATCCTTGCGCGTCGGGGCACGGTCCTTGCCTGGCCGGGCCCCCGAGCCGACGCGCCACGACCATGGGCCGACGCGCTGGGACCATGGCAGGACCCGGGGAACCCAGGCAGGGCCCCGGGGCCGACGCGCTGGGGCCATGCCCCGGCTCCACGCGAGTCGGGGCATCGTCCTGGCGCGCGCGCGCTTCCTCCTCTCAGGATGGCGCCTCGCTCCGCTCCGCGGGGCGAGGGGCCTGGGAGAACTCGGGGGCCTGGACTGTTGAGGGCTGGGGCGTGGACAGCGCACCACGCCGAAGCGCGGTGGGCCAGAGCCCCGTGGATTGTTGCTCCAGGGCACCCCAAGCTGTCGTGGGTCTCACAGCTCGCGACGGGCGGCGGAACGGGCAGCAGCGCGGGGACCAGCAGCTGGTGGCGCGGTGTCTCGAGGTTGGCCCCATGGCAAGCCCCCTCTCCGACGGGCCCACGACCCTCTATAGGGCGAAGGCGCGCACTGCTGCCGGGGGCAGCGGGCGGCGACGCCGGCTCGCGAATGGGGTGGAGCGCGGCAGGAGCGGCGGCGGGCGGCGGGTGGCGGGGAGGGGCAGGACGACGGGGGGACAAGGCTGCGCGGGCGGGGGGCGCAGGAAGGGCGGAAGGGAGGAGGAGACAGCCAGCGCCGGCCTGCCGAGCAGGGGCCCCGCTCCAGCGGATGCTTGGCGAGCGGAGGACGTCCGAGGAAGCAGCCGCGGAAGAGGATCGGGAGCCGCCGGCCAAGGCTGCCCGCAGAGCGCGGACGACCCGACCAGCCAGCCAGCCAGCCAGCCAGCCAGCCAGCCAGCAGCAGCAGCAGCAGCAGCAGCAGCAGCAGCAGCAGCCTCCAAAGGGGCTGCGAAGAAGACGTGGAGGCCGCGGTGGGGCAGGCACAGTGCAAGGCCATGCGCGAGGTCATGGAAGGCTTGCGGCGTGTTCCATCAAACCAATGCGCGACGGTAACGCGGGACGGCGGCAGGGAGATCGAATTGCGTCGCGCCCCCGCCGCGGCCAGGTGTCTCCGCCTGTTGAGCTTGTCGATGGCGTCATGCGGGGGCACTTGCGCCGTCCAGTTGCCACCGTCAAGACTGTCGCTGAGGAGGTCCTGACCCTGCTGGCCAGTCTGCTGCGCCGCAGTGCCGGCGCTTGCGAGACCCCCGCGCCGGCCACGGGCGCAAACCGATGCGCGGGGCAGGAAGGGCGCCATTCCCTGAGAATCCCTGACGCGCGCCTGGCGGCAACTCGACATGCGCGCGCGTCGTCGGAGCGCCCTTTCATGCTGCTCGTGCTCGGACAGGCCATGGGAGAGGGCTTCGTAATAAGCGAACTGTTGCGCCCATCTCTGACGGCAGGGGTCGACCACCGCGTTGTCCTCCGAGAGCCCGGCATTTCGTTTGCGCACATTACAGACAGGGTACTTCAGCTTCTGGGACTTCTGTTGTGCCGAGATCTGCCTCCGTCTCCTCTGGGCGTTAACGTCCAGGAGTTCGCGGCTTGTGCGGCGAGCTTGGACTGCAAGCGCTGCGCTGTTCCAGAAGCAGTGGACAGCCAGACTCAGCGATATTACACTTTACCTGACCAGCCACCAGTGGGTGGCCCCCGCCGTGGTGAAGGTGGCGTCCTTAAACGTTCCCGAAGGCGGGGCGGGGGCGTCATGGCGCGCGCGTGGACCGCATGCTATGTAGCTTGACGAGCAGAAGGTAGGGGTGGAGACGTTTTTGGAGGTTCATTCGTCGAACCCGTCCCGTCCGTCACCTATTCGACGTCCGTCCAAGTGGCAGGAGTCTCTGAACGAAACCTGGGCAATGCTGCCGCAGCAGACTTCCTTTGCCCACGAGCAGAACACTTGCTCTGGGAAGTGCTCGCGGCTTGATCGGGCTGGAGAACGGAGGCGCGCGAGAGTTGGGCATCCGGACGAACAGGTGGGCGATGGACGTCCTCAATCTTCTGTGGAGGCTCGGATTCGACAGATCGCAGGGCTACCGAGTTGACTCGCTCCGCATCCGTCGCCTCGGCCATTCAAGCGATTGGCTGCTGCTCAGCATTCATTTGACACGATCGTCAAGCAGAACGGTTATGCGGTCTCGCATGTGGGTGTGTTCTTGCCGAAGATATGGGTTCGGCAGACTGCAAGTTCTTTCACATTGACACGTTTGTTGGATTCGCGTTGGCCACCTGAGACCTACCATGTCTGGTGGAATCCCGAAGCCCTTTCATTTTTATGAGGTGTTCTGCGAGGGTTGTGTTTGCTGATTGTATTTCGACTTGGAGTTCGACTTCGTTTGCAACGCAGCGCTGGAACCCTTGTGCGTCATGCAATATTTCTATGCTTCGTTGGATCTGTTATACCAGGAGCTGTTTGGCGCCGCGGTTGTTCTGCAGTCTCTCTGCCATGGTTTCGATGACTGCTGCGAAATTTTCCAAGCACGTCGTCATCAAGCGCCTGCTGCCCCGGAGCTCTGATGCGTCGCCGCGCAATGTAATTTCCCAGGAAAATTTCCAAGCAGGAGTGTTCGTGAAGCGTTTCCTTGAGCGAGCGCGGATCCTGGAAGCATGTCAGGGCTCTCCGATTTCGCTCTTGTTCGCAAAGCGCGAGCGACACAATGCGGTCGACGCGCTCCGCAAGACAACGCCTAGCGTTGATACTTATGTGTGCCCTCGCAATCGTTGCTTTCGCGTGTTCTACACTTTAACAAAAGCACGAGGGTTCCTCCGGTGCCTTCTGGGATTATTCTGCGCGATCAGGTTCCAGCTGAGAATTTGCTGTGCAGTCTGGGGTCTTTCGTGCCCGCAAGCGTGCAGCTGTTGGACTCGCTCGGGGTCGGTGCGGTTGCCAGGGCGGGGCCTGTGCAGCGGGCGCTCTCGCGAAGCGGCGGCGTTAAGCGACCTGACGCGCTCCGGTGTTGATCTCCACCTGCTCCCCTGCCTTCCTCCTCCCCGACCCCCTCTCCACATCCATCCCGTCCCAGCCCCAAGACAGACTTCAGGAGCATCCAAACACCTCCTGGAGCCTCCTAAAGCCACCAGGAATTCCGAGAAACCTTCAGGACCACCCCAACAAAAACGTCTCATCCTTCGCCTCCTCCTCCTCCTTCTCCTCATCTTTCTCCGCATCTCCTCCTCCCCCTCCTCCCCCCTGGACCTCCCTGCTTGGCGGGGCACCGAGACATCCAGGCCATTGCACCATCCTTTTGCGCCCTCCCATCCTACTCTCGCTGGATGGGTTTGGGCCCTCCCGTAACTTCCGACGTTGGCCCCTTGGTTCGGCCCACCTGCCTCGTAGCTGTCGCCGTCGGGTTCGTGCACTGCCGTTAGGGGCTGCTGCGCCACTGCGCGCTGGTAGGGTGTCCCCCCCCTGCACATGACAAAGCTGTCAAGGGCTGCTGCGCTCTCGTGTGTACACCTGCTGCCTTCTCTTTGCAACCCTCCCCGTGCGCCCTCCCCCCTCCTGGCTCGACACCCACTGCACGCTGGCTACAGGAAAGGGGCTGGGGCCCTGCCGGGGCCGCCCCCGGGCCCTGCCATGGTCCCAACGCGTCGGCCCATGGTCGGAGCGCGTCGGCCCCGGGGGCCGTGCCGGTGCGCGCGAGCGGGGCAAAAGGGCGCCACGTCGTTCTCAAAACGTGGCCGTAAACTCAGCGCCGCGCACGTTCTCTGTAAAACGTTACAAGAGTTTCACGGATTGTGGGCGGGTGGTTTTGCAAGTGTGGCTCTCGCCTTGGCGCTGCGGGCACTCGTTGTAAAAAGTTGCAAGAGTTTCACGCACTGCGGGCGGGTGGTTTTGGAAATGTGGCTCTCGCCTCAGCGCCGCGCACATTCGTTCTTAAACTTGCAAGAGTTTCACATATTGAGGTTGGCTCCTTTTCAACATGTGGCTCTCGCCATGGCGCCGCCTCGTCTTAAACATTTGCAACAGTTTCGCAGATTCCAAGGGTCAAAATGCCAAACATGGTGTTTTCGAACGACTCAGGATTGTGGGGGCGCGACAGTTACGTTGATTCGCGGTGTTGAAGTACCAGGAATTGTGTTGTGGCACGATTCTGGATCGTCAAGACCCAGCAGTCATGTTGGTTTAGGGCGTTCGAATCCCGAGAATAATGATTTGGCACGCTTCAGAGTCTTCAAACGGTTGTCTCCCAACGAAGCAGTTCCTTCAATAGACATGAGCCCTTTTAGGGGCCTGTGAAGACGGGGATTGGAGGGAGGGATTCTTCCAACATCGCTGATGAGTCTTGGGTTTGCACTGGTCCTCCTCCTCCTCCTCCTCCTCCTCCTGCTGTTCCTGCCGGCCTCATCCCTCCTTCCCTCCCTCCCTCCCTGCAAGTGATGAGGAAGAAGGCAAGGAGCATTGCAGACAGGATTCCTTCCCCAAAATGCTCACCATGCTGACCGCACCGTTCGAATGTGCGCCAGTCCCCTGGCTTTAGCACCAACCTGCAACTCACAGCAAATTGAACCGCCTTAACGCCGTCCTGAGCCCCCTCCCTCCGTCCTATTCAATCCTGCTCCCTCACTTCTGCCTCTTGCCTCCCTTCTCCTCCTCCTGCTCTTGCTCCCCCTCCTCCTTCTGCTCCTCCATGCCGCCGGC